CACAGCTGATGTTACTGGTACAGCAGCACAAGACTGGGCTCAGAAATAAAATCCTGGCAGCTGAAATCCGTGAGAGGAAGAGATTTTGGGTGCCTCAAAAAAGTTCAGCAACTTTGCTGACAATTAGAAATCTATATTATAAAATAAGTGATTTAATCAGGAGCTATTTATAGCTAATACATTAATTGTATTCTTGAAGACCAAATCCTGATACTGAAAGGTAAAGGCTATACATGCAACTCACTATCCAGGGATTGAACGTGAGCCAATTCAGTGAAAGCAATGAAAGGTGCTGGGTTCAAACTTAACTTCTAACACAGGAGCCTAGCAGTTTTGAAAATGCTTCATACACATGCACATATACATACATAAATACCTACGTGTGAAAGACATATTTATATAAAGGAAGAGTACAACCGAGTATTAAACTAAAACAAAGCATGAAAATAAAATCTTTTATAGTCAGACACACTCAAAATTAAAAGAATAAATGCTACTTTAATAATCCACAGTCAGATAGGGGACAAAGATAAATGAGAGAGGTGGCAAACATTTTGCAGCAGCAAGTAAGGACAGGAATATAACTTGAAGGAAGGCAAACAAGAGAAATATGGTAATGTTATACAATGCTTATTCAGAAACTTTATTGTATACAAAATTATTGCTCTGAGAGTAGTTACCTACATAAATAAAAATTGACTTTGTGTCATTAGTGTCCTGTGATAAGCCATGCTATGCTGCTCTTCCTTAAGCAGAGTTCCTCTGACACTGATTTTTGGATCACAGAGACTTGACAAATATGAGCCAAAAGCTGCCTTGAGAAATAGCTACTGAATGTGAGCAAGTCAAACCTTAGTGTGCACACTATTGGTTTTCTTTGTGGGTTCTTTGAGGAATTAGAGTGTGAAAAACCCAGGAAACATCTTAACAAAAGGCCTTTCCTGAAAAGACCTTTCCTAACATTACAGATTAGAAAAGGGGAAAGATCACACACACACACACATACTCTGCCTCTAGCCCCAAGCCCAGCTTTGCCTCGCAAGAGGTAGTGACTTCTACAGTTAACAGCAGTCTCCGAGCCCATTCAATCTCGTACAGTTTAATGGTGAGTTTTTAAAGTCTATAATTTTGTAAGATTTTTACTTTGAAAAGAAATTTGACACCTTTTTTTGCTGATCAAAAAAACTTTGTTTTCTCTGAAGCACAAGTAGGACTAAACCAGTCATTTTCTATGAAAAGGTTACGAGAAATTCATACATCTTCACACCTGCTTCGGAGAGATCTGATCTGTAAATGCACCGCTGCCCCCCTTTTCCTTTCGTTAAGCTTCTGTACGCAATTTCAGTAGAAGTACTTGCAATTGTAATGTGAAAAGTGTCTGTATATCTCATATTCTAGAGTGAACACCAGCAAATGTCATTAAGAATAAAATATTCATTTTAAAGAAAGCTGTAAATTTAAATTTCAAATACATTACCTTTTTTCCTGCTATGCTTGCCTTTACTAATGTTCCCAATACTTTAAAAATGTTTGCTTAAATATATACAGTATATATAAAGGGAATAAACTACTTGCTATGATATTTGTCCTTTAGCAGAATCAGGTAAGAGAGAGAAGGGGAGGAAGGAGAAGGAGGGAAAATCTTGACAAGAATATATATTGGAGGAATCAATAAAAAGATAATCCTTGGAATTCATGAGTCTTTAAAATAAGGTGCATTTTCTTGTAGTAATCCTAAAAACCTATAAAAGAATATTCAAGCAATAAACCCCCCATAACTCATATTTAACCTTTCATCATGTAGAACTACATATTAAATAGCTTAGCAACTGCATGCTGTGTAAGTGCATTCAAATAACAGCAGAAATAGAAAAATGTAAATGCTACACCTCTTTTAACATGCATTGCACAGCCAAGAACATCTGCCAACTGACCCCATAATCCAATCGGCTGTTCAGAAGCAATTGTATCCTTAGATAAGAGCTGTACAGCTTCTACATGCAATGCCCATTTTCTTTAAGAGATGGAGCAAAATGTAGTTAGTCAACTCTTCAACAACTTTCAAACACTTAGAGATACAAGACGAAAGTAATTCAATGTATTACATGGACCTGAATTAAAATACTGTCATCTCTTCCCCCAGATATCGTAATTCATCTTTTAATTTCACAGCGCAACAACACAGAGGAAGTTTAAGGCTGAGTGACTATATCAAATCAAGTGATTACCAAGTGCATACAGTCCACGCAAATTGTTTGTCATTTCTAGTAGAAAATAACAAAACCTGGAATAAAATATGGAAGGGCTCAACCTAGTCCATCAATTACAATGAGAAGAAGAAATACACAGAAGCTGAAATAATTCTTCTGAGTTTACCTCTTGCATCTACTGCAAAAGGAGTGGACTGCCTGAGAGGCTCTATAGGCAGGGGGGATGAAGATACTTGAAGATACCTGGCTTCAAGATACTTCAGAAGAGATAAAAGCTCTGTGGAATTAGGAGTATAAACCCCATGGAATATCACACAGTAACAGAATGTGTCATTATCTCTGAATAAACTTCTGCTAAAAAATTCTGTCCTAAGCACACAAGCAACCTGCACTACGCTGACTGAACTTATTGTAGGAGGACAGTCTTTTGTGAAACTGGTTATGCCATTCAAATAATTATTTATATCCATCAAATAAATCTTCTGACAGAGCAGTTTATTCTTGGTTCTAAGTTATCCAACTTCTTTATCAGTTGCATAAGACACAATATAATACAGTAGCCAGTGAAAGATAAGAGCAAATCTCAGCACCAAGGTGATTTAGCTTTCTTATATCTGATATCAAACAAAAGCAAGTATTTTACCACAGGTATTTAACCCAGATTATATAAAAATAATTAGGATGTCACATATTTACATATAAAGAATCTATAGAGCTTTGCTTCAGGATTTAAACACTGCCCAGACCAGAGGCAACAGAAGACAATCTGCCTTGCAGTGGATTAATGATATGTGTCCAGCTTAGCTAAACAGCAGTGCGATCAGCTAATTTAGTTTACCATCTGGGTAGGCAACCTGTGCATGCTGCAGTCTGCCTAAGGACCTTGGTGTTTCTAAATCGGTGCTGGAAGTCAAAGTCCAGTGGGTGCAGAGCAAAACTCCTTCCAAACTACACAAAGGCTTGAGAAGCGTTTGGGGAGGCAATTAGCAGAATCATGTACACAATATGTACATATGTGTGCATATCTAAGAATATATATAGACATTTTCCTTATTACCACAATTTCTTCTTATCCTAAAAGCTCTGAAATATATAGGAACTGATCCAATCCTGTATATCTAAATTGGAAAAAGATAATACAACTGGGTGCTTAAACAGCTAGAAAAAGTTTCTGTTTCTATCCTAAAAAACCCAAAGCCACAGGCAAAGAAACAAAAAAACACCAAAAACCAACCAAACGAAAAAACACCCCAAAAAACAAAAAGTCACAAACCTAAAGAAACAGACCTTAATGCAATTCTAAGGTGTCACAACTAGACCCTGCAACAGAAAGCCCTTTAATGAATTCGAGGGGATTTAGATCAAGACGTGTGTTCCTGGTAAAGAGGCAAAAGCACCAACCACATTTACATTAATACCAGTCATGGCACTTTGCAAGCACTGTGCACCAATAAACTGTACAAAGATATAATTTCCAAGTTTAAACAACTTCTTCCCTTTAATATCTTCTGAAAGGCTTTTGAAATTAGGAGATCTAATGTGTGTGGGAATAGGCAACACTTTATAGCAATAAGTTTACTTTTAATGGAAGTAGTCTGCTGTGTCTATGGGTACCAAACCCCAGTATCATCTCATTACAAAGGAGCTTATTGTTACCATACGACTTACTGTGGGATTTCATTTTGCCTCTTTGGTTATCTGTCTGATCCATTAAGAAAAGCACTGAGGTATGGACAACATACACTTTATTGCCATTTTATATTTTTGTAGTCCCTGCTGCTTCTGTTAGGCTATAGCCTATGAATTTCAACTAGTATTAAGTAAAAAAAAAAAAAAAAAAAAAAAGCATTTACCAAGTTTTTCACATGAAAATAAATAAACTGTGAAGAAAATGAGGCAAATCAGGTGTTAGAAGTGGTGCTGCATCCCAGGACACGACTGCTGCAGCAACGGTTGCACAGAAAAACAACTGATCCACCAGTTCTAGCACCTACAAGCCACTACACAAATCTTTGTATGAATACTGTAAGTCCTTCTACATATACTATACAACATATTTTATATATATATATTTATTCATAACATATATATGAAGTCCCTTTCAACATGACTGCTTCTGTCCTATTAATTTTCATGGTTGAATTTGAAATAAAGGATAGGCAAAACTAAGTAGTACTTCATCAGTGTTAATTAGTGTTGAGAATTAATCAGCAAATGAAGGAAATCACTATTAGTTTTGCAGAAATGTATACAGCATTAAGTAGCATTTAAATAGATGCTGATCTTTTTTTAAGAGTAGCAATTTAGAGATTACTTTCCTCTGATGGGATACTTCAATATCAAATATACAGAGATTAATGTTCAAGGGAACTTGTGTTGTGTTGAAGGGAAACATTGCTAAAAATAGCAATATATATTTAACAAATGCTTCTGTAACAACTATAGTCTCAGAGAGAATTACAAAGTTTTTAAAGCACCCATGACATATGAACTCTCTGATGCCTACACTCTGACCAGGTGGGATTATTCATCCAGGGCTTCCCATGCTCTGAGAGATAAAAATTTCTTCATAAAAAGAAATACGGTGTTTCAGGTCAAATTCTGCAATTGAATAAGCATCTCCCCCTCAATCCTTAAGAAGTTCGAGGCTTGCCTACAAAATCTGACACAAGGTGTCGTCCCAGAGATAGCTCCTATTTTTAATTTCTTCACCAGCACAGTACCTTTTGATCACAATTAAAAGTACAGTAAGCACAGAGAGATTGCTGTTGGCTATTTAATGCCGCTCACCTGATTCTTGAGATCCAGCTTTGGGCAGGGACGACCTCCATTGTAAGGCTTCTCCTTAAGCCACTTGGATCGGACTTTCACCCCGGGTCCACAAGAAGAGCTGCAAGGGGACCAACTGGACCAATCGCTTAATTTGCAATCAAACGGGCAAGGGACCGTGCAAGATTCTTCAATGTAACCTAAACCAAAAATTTAAGAAAGGTTTTAATCACTGCAACTAATGAACTCTGATCCTCTGATGTCTCACTTTGAACTCTGTAATCAACACAAAATGAGAACTTCTTAAAGAGAAGACATTTGGCAGACTGACAATGCCTTCCCAACGCGAGATTATGATATTACTTGTAAAGAACAGCAGTGTCTAAAACTAATTTCCACTTGGTTTAGTCCAATGAAGGCTGAGATAAAACTGACTGATGAAAAAGACACATGCTGGCAGAAGTATCTGTTGTGAGGCTGATGGTCACCAACAGCTGGTGATTATCTTCCCTATGCCATAATAAATTCTGCAGAACTCAGTGTACAGCCCAATTTTGTAGTCCTTTAGTATTATGGTAGCCGTCTCCAGAGCTGGCACAGGCAGAGGGCTCTCTTCCCAGCAGGCAGAACCAGTGGATGGGAGAGGCACCAGAGCCCACAACCTGCCAGCTGGAGCATGGGACTCATTCTTGGGAGAAACAGATGAAACCTGCTTCCTACTTCTTTCTGGTAGTTTTCTTTATACATCTTTCCAACTGGTTTGCCTATTCTGGGTGTTGAGGTTTAACCCCAGCCAGCAACTAAGCACCACACAGCTGCTCGCTCACTCACTCCATTCCCCCTAGCAGGATGGGGGAGAGAAATGGGGAAAAAACCCCAAAACTCATCAGTTGGGATAAAGACAGTTTAATAGAACAGAAAAGGAATAATGGTGTTAATAATAATAAAAGAATTAGTATATATAAAGCAAGTGATGCACAATACAATTGCTCACCACGCACTGACCGCTGCCCAGCCTGTTCCTGAGCAGCAGCCCCTCCCCGGCCAACTTTGCCCCCAGTCTATATACTGAGTATGATGCCATACAGTATGGGATATTCAGATATCCCTGTGGGCAGCTGGGTCAGCTGTCCCAGCTGTGCCCCCCAGCCTCCTCGCTGGCAGGGCAGCATGAGAAGCTGAAAAGTCCTTGACTCAACAGAAACACTACTCAGCACAACTGAAAACATCAGTGTATCAACATTATTGTAATACTAACTCCAAAACACAGCAGCATACTGGCTATTAGAAAGAAAATTAACCCTATCCCAGCAAAACCCAATACACCGGGCTTCATAAACGTAATTTTAAAGCTTTGCTTTCACCTTAATCTGACTTGACATAAAAGTCCTCCCAAGATCATCACCTCTTAAAATCAGAATACCAGACATCTGCAGGACCAACACTTTGCTGAATTAAAACCCAACAGGTTTTCTCAGGGAAAAAACAAGGTTCCTCCAAACAGGCACAACCCCACAGCTGGTTTAGGAGCTGCCATATGGGAAGAGAGATTTTGCAGAGCCCCACACTGGCTGTGGAGGGTGGCCAAACCCTCAGGGTCTGGCACCTGTCTTGGGTTGGCAGTGTGGAATAGCTCCTGCACCTTGCTGCTTATCGTGCTGCATTCGTTCTCCTTGAGTTTCTATTATCTGCTTGTCATGTCTGTATGTACCATTTTAATTTAAACAAAAAAGAGATTTCGTGTTAGACCGTGAAAGTCAGTGGCTGCTAAGATCAGCCTTTATTACAGGCGGCTTCGACCCTCTGACAGCTCTAGCAATGATGGTCATGGAAATAACTGAATTTCATCCCTACCGTATTTCTGATGTTTCTCATTTTTATGCCCTTTCCTTCTGCTTGGTTTTCATTGCACTGACACTCCCTCTATATTCCTTACCTACAGAATATCAAATTAGCTCATTCAATTACTCTTTTATGAAGGGTTTCCCCACTCTATCAAGGTGACAGTCACTGCAGCAGGGAAGAAAAATCCAAAACAACAAAACCCAGAAAAACCCAACCCAGCAGCAGCTGCCCTCCAAAACCCCCAGACAACAGCCTCAAACAACTGGGAAACACTGAGGGTGAGGCACAGAGATTATTCTGGCCTGGAGCTGAATTTACTGGCTTTGCTGTGCCCAAACTTGCTGCTGACTCCGAAGCAGGACTGTGTTCCATCCTGAGCATCGACCCACAGCAGCAATATGCTGCCTCCCTCCTGATCTTCATGCTGAAGTCAGTATCAAGAAAGGTTTCAGACTTATTTAGGCATCGCTCACCAGAAAATATCCTCCTTCTAGAAGTACAAGAAATACTGATGTTGTTTTTGTAAACAGCACCTTAAAAAATACTAGAAACAACAGTAGTTCCCTCCTTCAGTTCAATGATGCTCTATTTCTTCTCCCTTTTTCCTTCCGTGATGGTACTGTTCCCTCTTCACTTACGGCAGCCACCCTGTAGCCTGGCAGCCGCAATCATTTCCCAGTAACTCACGCTGTAACTCTTCTCTAAAGCTGCAGACCTGTCCCCCAACAGTGTGCTCTAGTTTTCTTTGCTACATCTTATCTCCGTGTGTTGCATTACCTTTTAATTTGCAGCTCCAAAGCCAGTGGAATTGGGTGTCTTAATTATTTCCAAACCAATCCATTGCAGTTGTGTTCACATGTTTGAGATATTTCAACTTTGCAGGCTTTGTATTCTCATCGAGGTGAGATTACACCCATGCACACACATATACAAATATCCAAAATAGACTCGCTTTTCTTCCCCAAATATCCCACTAATATTCTATTCCACCTGCTTAGGTTGCCACTCAAAGTAATTCATAATGTATTATGACAAGTAAAAGAAATTTTCTCATGATAGGTTTATGAGAAGCATTTCTTAGGCAGTTCTCCAAAGAGTTCTGCTCCACCACCATATGAAATATCATTTTTCCTTGGGCTGTGTGACAGCCTAGGTAATTAACTCTCAACAGAAACAAAGAAAGTGCCTTGTTTCAAAGTAGGATTAGACAGAGGGGTTATCAACTTATCAGTGAAGACAAAATGGGCTAATCCTTTTGGCAGTTCAAGACCTACCTCTATAATAAAAAGAAATATAAGACAAAAAAAGAAATATAATTAAAAAATAAATATAAGGAAGAGGAAGAAAAAGTTATAATAAACAAAACTGAAGAAACCTATTGTATTCCATCCCCAGGAAGGGCTGTGGGGATCCCTCAGCAAACCACAGAATTTCTAAAGATGTCCTGTTGCTAAGAGGCCAGGTCATTACTTTTTGAGTTTCCTCACCCATATTTCTAAATTACACTAAGTATAAACAAATAATGGCCAGCTAATAGAGCATTAAATTACCATAATGCCCAGAGGAAGCCAATTCTCCATACTGAACAGTGCTAAAGAATCAAAATGGGAATATGACTTTCAAGCTCTTCTCACAGGCTGCCATTATACTTTCTATCAATCCCTTGAGGTTAATCCTATGCCAAGACATCCATGGACCAAAGATTTCATTCAACAAAAATTTTCCTCCAAAAATCTTTGTGATGTGTTCTCTCTGCTCAGATCGAGAATGCCTTTATGGCTTTTTTATGAGAAACTAGTTGTACAACTAATGTTGTACTCAGCTCATCCATTGCCTATAAGAATAGGATATTTGGTTTTCTCTGTAGGAGCCAATCAATAGCTTTCCACTGCCAAGGGGCTGAAAAGACTTCAGTTTGGATAACCACAATAATCCTAGTACTGGCATTCCTAGAAAACTTGTAATACAAAACACCACCACCAACAAAAACCAAGGGAGACATGCTATTAAAACAACCTATTAATAAATAATTCTACATTCAGGCTATTATCCAGAGAAATACTTCTTACTGTAACAGCATAAACACATTTCTGAGTTATTGTTGCTCACATTGGGGAGACTAATTCAAGGTTGAGTTTACACAGCTGGTTTTGTCAGTGTCATCCTTAAACATCTCACTCATCCATCACGTTCCCTGATTTTCTCTTCTCTGCAGAACCTAGTACCGAAAATTCATTGTGTTTCCAAGACCTTCTATGGAAAAAGATGTCCTCTTCTCCCCAGCCCTGATCTACCTGTTTTCCATGTTTTGTTATACTATTTCTTGAAGCTTCCTTTAACTTCTATTTTTATTTATTCCTTAAAATCTCAAATACCATTAAAATAAAGCTCATTTAATTTAGAAACAACAGATGAGGGCCTCTGCCCTATCTGAACCAACAGCAGGCTCCTGAATGCCACAGAGCTGGAGCTGCGCAGAGATGTTGCAGGAGGTAGCAACAGGAACACCAGTGCATGAGATATTTAAGTAGGTGCTTTGAAAGATACTACTGGGAATAGTCCTGAATTGGCAGGAAAAATTGAGCTGGATGATCAAATAAACCTTTTCTATGTTTAAGCGCTATTGTTTTACTACTGAGACACTGCCAACGTAATGGGATGAACAAATGCATTTACCTAGGCTGCACAGCTCATTTTACTATTATTTATTCATTAAGAACAATATGCTTGTTGCTCTACAAGCCACAAATGGAGTCTCTTCCCTAAAGTGTCTGTAATAAACAAAGCACCCACAGATTACACTAGATGTACTGGGAAGGCTCAAACACACAATGTAGCAACCACTACTTGTGCCATTTCTTCTGTGCAGCCCAAGAGACAAAGCAGTAGCAGGTAGATGAATCAAGTGAGGATGATGGTCTGGCAGGTGTTTGAGGTTAAGGCTCAAATACACTGTGTAAAAACTGTTATTGTCTCATTTTTTCTGTGCAACCCAAAAGACCGAAGGCAATAGGAGGCAGCTGGGTGATGGGCTGGTGGGTGTCAGCAGCAGAGAAGCACAAAGAGGCTGTGAATTGCACCGCAGTGCCAGGGGGGAGTTTTGCAGTAGCACAATTTCTTTCCCACATACACAAGATGCTGCATATGTCACACCAGGCACAGCCAGCAAGGGGCTGCAGTGTCCTTCTGTGCCTCCCTCCACATTCACAAATGGATCATGGTGGGAGAAGCAGTGATCAGCAGGTTTACAAGCTAACATAAGACACTGGTGTCCACCTGACTGTTGCACTTGCAAAGGATAAATTTGCTGTGGGTGTAAGGTCTGCACACAGTGTTAAACAACAGTGCCAACAGG